GTGGGGGGCAAATAGTTTTTAATGTCTTGGGTTGTTATTTATTTATATTTTTACAAACACTGGAGAATCAGGCGGTGCTGCCAGCACTAGATGCAATCCTGGGCCACGAGTCTGCGCACTCCTTTGCCACTGGTCCCGCGATGGCAGAACCTTTCATTTCACGTTTATCGTTGACTATGACCCCTGCATTACCCTCAAAATCTTCTATCTTTTCGGATGGCTTTTCCATCTCCTGCCTTCTAATTTGGGCTGTTCCCTCAGGGTCAGTTCTCTTATTTCTTTCCCCTAACCCAGAAAGCCCTCTGTTTCCCATGTCGTTAGCTAGCACCCCTGTGCACATGACGCCAAAGTTCCCAGCTGACCCACAGTGAAGTCTGGTATTTCCAGCTGCTTTAAGAACATTTCCATTTATAGCTCCTCACTGTCATTGAAAATGTAATATATTTAAAAGTTTGTTTATTTCATGAGAGAGAGAAACCAGGGTTGGGTAGAGGAGTGGAAGGATGGCAGGGACCCTCAACTGGGTGTCACTGAAGTCGTCCTCCCAGGCAGGCAGGGCCACAGGCCTGTGCTAATGCTGTCATGTACAGGTGGAGCTGGGAACTGAACTTCGAGCCTCCATATGGAATTAGCATCACCGAGCAGCACCCAGCCCACCACTGTACTGGCCCTCAGCATATCCAGTTAAACCCATCAGATCCACGCCCCTGTGAACCCCCATGACTTGCTCATGCCTGTGAGCGACGCAGAACATGGTTTCACCCTGAGAGCTTGAAACCTTGGACCTATTTGAGGACCGGCTCTTGAAATTTTGGAGTTACCGATGTGCTGGAGCCTGCTGAGGTGGACTCACGAGAGCCAAACGTTCATGTTGAACAGAGTTGTGAGCTGGTCCCTAAACATAGCCATTATTAAAAATGAAATCATATAAGCTCACATTAAATAAGTTATATTTAAAATAAAGGCAATACATACTTAAAGCTTTTCACTTCATAATTATTTTCCTACATGCTGTTATTGTCCGTGCTCTTGGGATTAATCATGTCTGTCGTGTCTTCATGATGGACATCCTAGGGAATGGGGTTCTGCCGACAGTTGTTCCCACATTGCATTCAGTGATATTTTGTATCCGTAGCTTGGAAGGGTTGTGGTGGGAGTATTTACACCGGGAGTCAGCAAATACTGCGTCTGAGCTAGCTGTCTTGTCTGTTCACTGTCTACACAGGGCGGTGGAGAAAATGTTAATATTGCAGATTAAACTTGAACGCATGTCATGGCTAGACCAGTACATTGTGAATAACACAAAAATTGAAAATTCTTTCAGTATTTGAAAGCTGTCATCCAATTCATCATACATATTTTCTCCAGTTGAGTACTCGGTTACCTTCTTTTTTTTTTTTTTTTGAAGAGGTTTTTGCTATAGGGTGCGTGCGCTCGCCAGACAGACAGAGAGAGACAGAGAGACAGAAAGCAAGAAATCACCCCCTAGTGGGAATGGCCATGCCACAATTCCTTCTCCTCCATTCTCCTCTTGGGATCTTGGGTATGCACACACATGCGCCCGGCGTGAGTTTAAGCCACCGGGTCCGGGATTCAAACCATGGTTGACTACGTGGGAGTCCAGCGACATAGCCATTATGCTAACTGCTGGTCCCTCCTTCTTTTTCCTTTATACACGCACCTTGTATATTTCTACTTCTAAACCTAGTCCCAGGTAGTTTTTCCATCTTTGTTTCTACCACAACATTTGCTAATTTTCTTTCTTTCTCTTTTTTTAGAGAGGTTTTTGCTATTGGGAGTGTGTCCTGGTCCCAACATTTGCTAATTTTCTAAGTCTCATCTCTTCAGGAAGTCTTCTAGGTGTTTTCAGATCTTATCTTTCGCAATTCTCATTCTACTTGGAATGCTACTTTGAATATTATAATGGGAAAGGACTTCAGTTTTTGATTGAACTGTAAAAATGCTTGAAAGATTCTAGTAGAAACTTTAGAAATTTAGAAAGTTACTGTTTCTAAAAGTAGCCCTTCTTGCTGCCTAGAAAGTTATGCATGTTAAAAGTCGGTCTTCATTGGGACTTAGTAGATGGCATAATGGTTATTTTGCTGGGACCAGCAGGTGACGTAATGACTATGTCACTGGACTCCCATGTAGTCAACCGCGGTTCGAGTCCCGGACCCCGTGGCTTAAACTCAGGCCATGCGTGTGTGATATGTGCCCAAGATCCCGAGAGGAGAATGGAGGAGAAGGGATTGTGGTTGCCACCTCCCCCCAGGGGGATGATTTCTCACTTTCTGTCTCTCTTTCTGGCGAGTACATGCTCCCTATAGCAAAATCCTCTCAAAAAAAAGAAAAAGGTTATTTTGCTGGACTCCCATGTAGTTGACTGTGGTTCAAGTCCTGGACCTGGCAGCTTGAAACTCATGCTGGGCACTTGTGTGTGCATGCCAAGAGGAGAATGGATTGTGGTGTGCCCATCCCCTCAGGGAGTGATTTCTGGCTTTCTATCTCTCTGGCAAGCACGTCCTAGCAAACATCTCTCTTTTAAAAAAAAAAGTCAGTCTTCATGGCTGGCGCGTGGTGTGCCTGTGGTGGTTAAAGCCCTGGACTCCCACATGCCATCTCGGTTTGAGTCCCGGGCCTGGCAGCTTGTTTTCTCACTTTCCCTCTCTCTCTGACTCTCCCTGATCAAATTTAAAAATGATAATATTAACAAAAAAATTAAATAATTCTCAGAAAAAAGAAAAGAATGAGCCTTCTTTGTAATTTTCACTAGTCTTCTAATTCTGTGTTGTAAGCACGATTCGGTGAAGTTGTCATTGGACGTGGGGTGAAGCGAAAGGTCTACTGCCACTCAGCTCATGTGCCTTTAACGTCTTAGAGCCTTAGCATCCTCGGTTTCTTCTGAAAAATACGGGTAATAAGTGAATTAAATAAGTAAAATAAGATTATGGGACCGGCTCCAAAGCCTGATGGTTAAGGCAGCCAGATCCCACATGACTGACTGCAAGGTTTGACTCCTGGTCCTGATGGCCTGAGAAAATGCCAGGTGCAGGAGTGCTTGCCCAAAATCCTGGAAGGAGGGAGAGATGGAGATGGAGAAGGGATTGCATCATGATTATTCCTGGGGGGGGGGGGTGTTTTCTTCTCTCGCTCTGTTTCTTTGTCTCTCTGGCAGGTACATGTGCCCCCTAGCAGGGAAAAAAAATTATAGCTAATTATAAAATAGTTAGGCAATAACTGTCAAATCAGGAAGATCAAACTAAGGGCGGTTTTTCCACTTGGCGACTTGGAGCAAGTTATGAAGCCTTTTGTGTCTTGCTTCTTCATGTGTAAATTAGGGATAATAATCATACCTCATAGCTACTTTACAGGTGTCAGGGGTCTCGAGATAGCACATAAAGCATTTAGCATAGTATTTGACACCAGTTACATTTTTTTCCCAAAATGAAATCTATTTTTAGGTAAGGCCTTTTTTTTTTAGAGAAATTTTTGCTATAGGTCACGTGCACTTGCTGGAGAGACAGAGACAGAAAGTGAGAAATCATCCTCCAGGGAAAATGGCTATGCCACAATCCCATCTCTTCCATTTTCCTCTTGGGATTTTGGACGTATTTGCACCATCAGGAGTTTCAGGCCACCAGGTCCAGGACTAGAACCACAGCTGGTCATGTGGAAGTCCAGCGATGTAACCATTACTCCATCTGCTGGTCCTTAGATAAGGTTTTTTTTTAAATTGCCAAAGGATATGTGAGCTTACAAGAGGGAAGGAAGGAAGGAGAGACAGAGAAACCAAGAGACCCCACTGGGGTGTGGTCATGCTGAAATCCCTTTTTCTTTCATTCTTCCTTCCCATCAGGAGTTTTGGCACACATGCACATGTGCCTAGCATGATTCTTCAGTTTCTGGGGCTGGTATTCGAGCCATGGTCAGTCACGTGAGATCTGGCTCCCTTAACTGCTAAGCAGCCCTTTAATGTAAGATTAAAATTAATTTTCCCACAAGGAAATTAATCCTCAAGATCCCTATTGAGATATTTGGTAAGAGGGGTTAAGCCAGACGTACACCCAGGGAAACATTGAGTACCTAGCATTTAGTTTCCTTTCAGCTTTCCGGGAGGCTTCTCTATAGGGCACGTGCGCTCGCCAGATAGACAGAAAGAGACAGAGAGACAGAAAGCGAGAAATCACTCCCCGGGGGGTGGTCACGCTGCAATCCCTTCTCCTCCATTCTCCTCTTGGGATCTTGGGCACACATGCACATGCGCCCGGCATGAGTTTTAAGCCACCGGATCCGGGACATGAACCGCGGTCGACTATGTGGGAGTCCAGCGACATAGCCATTACGCTAACTGCTGGTCCCGCGGGAGGCTTTTCTGACTCTGATTGGACTCATCTGTCCTTCAGTAGCCATTCTATCATTTTGGCCCACAGTGATTCCTGAGATGTTTTAGGATAATTAAGATTCCCCTATCCCCATGTCTAAACTTTTTGAACTATTGTTCAGTGTTGGGTAGAGTGTGTAATAGATAAGACTTCAATTAAAAAAAGATAGTTACTGGGACCAGCAGTTAGTGTAATGGCTATGTCGCTGGACTCCCACGTAGTCGACCGCAGTTCGAGTCCCGGACCCAGTGGCTTAAACTCACGCGGGGCGCGTGTGCGTGTGTGCCCACGATCCCAAGAGGAGAATGGAGAAGGGATTGTGACGTGGCCACTCCCCCAGGGGTGATTTCTCGCTTTCTGTCTCTCTGTCTCTGTCTGTCTGGCAAGCGCATGTTCCCTATAGCAAAAACCTCTCCAAAAAAAAAAAAAGGATAGTTACTTCTGATAAGCATTACTAATTTTATATGTATTTTACGCCAATCTGAATGTTTCTGAATTTTATTGTTGCTTCCAGTTTGAAGGTCTTTAATTCGTGTTTACCTAGAACCAGAGAGTCCTGTGTGGACTATAAAATTATTCAAGGTTAAGTAACTCAGCCTGTCACATTCTCACTCACAGGTCCGCAAGCACATCAACGATCTTTACGAAGATCTGCGGGATGGCCACAACCTGATCTCTCTGCTAGAGGTCCTCTCGGGCATCAAACTGGTGAGCTTCCTTTCTCCCCACGTGTGGCCTCACGAGGGCAGCCCTACTGGCCCATAGCCCTGAACGCGAGGGCCGTGGCCGTCACTGCCTGCTCTAGCAGGTGGAAGGACGACGGAGGAGAGATTATAGGTAGACTTCGTTTCTAACCCAGATTCGTAATTTACAGATATCATTTCAGTCGATTCACTGCGTAGTCTCATTTCTTGATAAACCAGGAATCAGTTATCAGCGATCTTTCTTTCATAGCCACGTGCTTTCTCCTTACTCATTCTTTATTTCTAGGTAGTAGTATTTCAGGTATGGGAGGTTTATGTTTAAAGATTATTGAACAAGGTTATCTTTTTCTTTCTAGTCTATATAGACTTTCCATTTCCCCCTTAAGTGTGAATTTGAAAATGTTCTTATTCACCTAAGCACCTGAAGTATGCATTTAAAGCCCGGGTGTTTGGTGTTATTTTCTTCCCAATTTGTCTCACTTTCTTCCTTTTGTGACTTGCCGAGTCTCACAGATTTGGAGAGGTGCTGAAGGTGGTGTTTGAGCAGACACGACCTTCAAGTGCCATGCACGTGGGCTCTTTGTGTAATTATTATAAATACGCTGTCCCTCCAAAACGCGGGAACATTGATTGTCGGAAACACCTGCATATCTGAAGGCAAAGGCTGAGCCTCTAACTCGGCTGGTCAGAGGATAGTTTTTAAACTTTATTTGAGGGATCAGAGTAACCCACCCGTGGACCTGCTCGTCTGTGCCTAATGGAAGCAGGTGATCCATGCGGTCTGCCTTCTGTCTCCAGGGCCACAGACATAGTTTTCATTTAGAAAAGTCCAGGGTTGTATTGTACAATCTGTTAATATATATATATATATATAAAATGCCTAAAAACATGTGAGCATGAAACTATGCACCTATAAATATTAACTGGATAATTAAAAAAAAATAGAGAAGAGATGAATGCTGGCAACATCTGTGCAGAGGAGGACTGAAGAGCGCCTGGCTTGGGCAGGCGGTGGAGCTCAGCCCACTCCTGCCCTAGTCGATAGTGAATCCTTAGTCATTGTTTGTTTTGTTTAAAGAACAGAAGTTGGCGCATTGGATCTCACTGCCTAAGAGGCATTTTGCTCCTTCTAGGACTAGGGCTTGGCTTCCCCTGGGCCCTTTGTTTTGTATCTTTTTTTTTTCTACATTGTAATGAAGTTATTTTAATGGCCTTAAATTGTCAGTAGCTTTAATTAACACAGCCAAGCAAATGGTAATTTCTAGTTCTTCTCTGGCTTTCCTTTAAAAATCTAGTAAGTAATCAGAATTTGCCCTTCACTGTGCTGACTTCAGCACTCACACTCAGTTATATTTTGCAACAGGTGAATTTCCTGTTCTTCTGTCGTGTCTTTGCGTGATGAAATAGTAGTGATTTTTATTAAAAAATGATCCTTTTTAGTGACATGCTTATGAAGCAGGTAAACTGTTCAATCGATCTACTTACTTACTAATGTATGTATTTATAATTGCCAGAGGATACATGCACTCTCCAGAGAGAGACAGAAGACTGCGCGAGGGAAAAACAAGCCCCAGTGGGGTGCGGTCATGCTGCAGTCCCCTCTCCTGCGCTTGCCCATCCTGCCAGGATTTGGGGCATGCACACACATGCACCCAAACACACGCACCCACCTCTGTGGCCTGTAGTTCTCACCACATGCCTCAGAGTGCTGTGGCTGGCACTCAGATCATGGCTGGCCACGTGAAATCCGACTCCCTTAACCAATGGCTATGGGGAGGCCCCAGTCTAATTTTTCTTCTACCCCTTGAAAACCTACAGGTATTTGTGGAGGTACTTATAGGATAGCATCTTCTCACCAAAACCACCTAGATATCTTTTCCATGGTTATTCTCATTCTCTTTTTCTCCCTGAGTTGATTCACAAAAGCGAGAGAGTAGGTGGTTTGTGTTGAAGGTGCATTTTTAACATGAAATGTATTCATTGTAACCATCTGTCTTGATTTTCTTTCTTTCTTTTTTTTTTTTTTTTTGATGTGGGGAGTTATTCTCATCTTCTTTTTAATGTTGCATTCATTTCCTTTTCATCTTTGTGTTGTGGATTTCCTGTTCCTCTGTGTGTCTTTGCTTGACTGGGGGCCACAGGAGCCAGCAGGGCTGAAGACCCTCCGTCTGGTGAGCATGCCCTCCTGGCGCCGCACACACAGCGAGGAGCAGGAGGAGGAAGATGAGGATGATGTCGTAGGTCCTCCTGGGGAAGCCAGCACCCCAGCTGGCACTGCAGGGCACTCAGAGTCAGGGTCTCCAGGTCTCCGAGTAGCTCAGTTACAAGTTGCCTTCTCTTTCCACCTGGGAATTTGGGTCCCAAAGAAACTGGTTAAAACTAGTTGTGCCTGTTGCCACCGTTAGATAACCCAGGAGTGGGAATTAATTGTTTTGCTTGTTTGAAAAAGGTTGGCACACAAAGAATAATGGTGTTTGGCAGTGTCAAGTCCCTTTGTGACCTGGAGACCCATAGCTTTCTGGTGGCCTTGCTGTGTCGTCTGAGTACAGACTGCAGAATGGTGGACAGTTTAGTGGACGGCATGCCAGTTCCTTAATTGCTCACAGCTCCACTCCAGACTAACTGTACCTTCTTCCCACCTCTCTGCCCTCTAGTTCTCACCACACGCTCTACCATTGGTTTTCAAAACAGCCTGTTGTTTGCAAACTCACTGCATGGAGACACTCTGGCCTTGGGCAGTGGCACTCTAGCTGCTATGGACAAGCGAGACTTAACTTGCATGTTTTGGGGGTGTTAGTTTTTGGTGAAAGGTACCTAGGAAAAAAGAAAATGTGTAAGAGAAACATTTTCTGCTCACAGCCCCTGGAATGTAGCCCCAAATCTTTCTCCAGAAATAAGGATTGGTAATATCCCATTCCCTGTCCTGTCAAAGTTGTCATTTCCTTCGACTGAGCTCCTCGTCCCTGGCTGAGACTCTTCAGTTGCACGGGCCCTGCCGTCCTCTAAGCCCCATTCATAATTAGACTAGCTGGAATGACTGAGAAGAGGCTCTTGCTAAAAAAGAGTTGTTTATTATTATTATTATTTAACTTTATTGGTTTATTTATTTTAATTTGACCAGAGCGAGAGAGCGAGACAGAGAGAAGGGGAAAGAGAGGAAGCAAGCCACCAGGTCTGGGACTCAAACTATAGTTGGTCTTGTGGGAGTCCAGCACCTTAACCACCATGCCACCTGCTGGCCCCCCAAAAAGAGTTTTTTAAACATTTTTTTAAAAAACATCTTTGCCAGGACCAGCAGGTAGTGTGGTGGTTAAGGTGCTAGACACTCCCACATGGCCAACCATGGTTCAAGTCCCGGACCTGGTAGTTTGCTTTCTCGCTTCCCTCCCTCTCCCTCTCTCTCTTTCTCTGTGTGTGTGTCTCTCTCTGGTCAAATTAAAGTAAATAAATGAATAAATAAATAAAAACGAACAAATAATTCTTTAAAAAAAAAAATAAAACGTTTTTGCCAAAGGGTCCATGCATGAGAGAGAGAGGAGAGAGAGAGAGAGAGAGAGAGAGGTGAGAAATCACCCCGTGGGGGCATAGCAATGCCCAATCCCTTCTCCTCTGTTCTCCTTCTGAGATTTTAGTCATGTAAGCACATATGTCTAGTGTGATTTTCAATCCACCAGATCCAGGACTGGAACCATGGTCAGCCATGGGGGAGTCTAGCACTTTTACTACTATGCCACCTGCTGGCCCCTCTTAAACTTTTCACTTAAGTTATCCTGTTACCTAGAAAGGCTTGGATTTCTCTGTAGATTATTCTGTTTAGAGAGTGTTGCTTAGAAGTTATCATCTATTACCTTTCTATGTGCTGGGCTACTTTTTGCCCTTTTTTTGGTAAACCTTTTCCTTTATTTTTTTAATACATAATTTTATTTCTTATCATTATTTTCTGCTGTAGGGCATATGCACTCACCAGAGAGAGAAAGAGAAAGGGAAAGTGAGACAGCAAGCTGCCAGGTCCAGGACTTGAACTGTGAGTGGCCATGTGGGAGTCCAGCTCCTTAACCACCATGCCACCTGCTGTTCCCAACTTTTTGCCCATTTCAATTTGGGGCAATATGTTTCTTCTGAGCAGACACCCACATTCTGCTCCTTCTGGGTGCTGCTATACTATATATACACATCATTTATTTTTTAATTTGCTAAAGGGCACATTTGCTCAGGGTGGGTGGGAGTGGAGAAAGAGCACTCCCAGGAGGAGTGACCGTGCCGGAATCCCTTCTCCTCTCAGGATTTTGGGCAGGCACATACATGTACTGGCATACTTTTCAAGCTGCCGGGTCTGGAACTCAACCACATGGCGTGTCCTCCAGCCGCCTTAACCATCCTGCCACCAGCTGGCCTGGAGCTGCCATATATTTTATTAGTCTTTAATTATACCAATTTGACATTTACAAATTAACTGGATAAAATCTAGTGAGAGTGATGTTTTAGTCACATTTTTAGTGAAATAATAACAACATTGGAAAGTTAGCAGAAGAAAATGTTCCAGAGCTGGAGAGCCGTTCCTGCATGTACTCGCTAGCTGAACAGTCGGTAGCCGTGCCCGAGGCACCGTGCGGAAACGGGCGTGTCCTCCGGGTTGTAGGACAGCCAGGAAGGAGTGACTGGTCCTAAGGAACTTCGGAGTGTGAGGCTGAACAGCACCGGACCGTCACGGTGTTGTCTGCTCCGAGAATTTCATAGCCCAGAGGCTGCTTTCCTGCGTGACTCCCATCTTCCTGGGACACGCACGTCTTCCGGGTTCGCCTGCCATTCTGGACTTTTCACTTATTTGTTGAGCACGTGCCACTCCTCCTTCCCGATAGTTAGGAATCAGTTACCTTGAGCTCGCTGTGTCAGGGCTGGGATAAGGTAGGCTCCATTTATTACTGTGCAGTTAAGTCAGGGCTTTCCCTTCACTAGCAGCAACTGACTTTGGAGCCACGGAGACAGTCTTCCTTCCCATTAACCGCACATCCAGAATCAAGCTTTGCCACACGGGAGACCCGCAGAGAGGTCGTGGCACTGATTGCGCGTGGTGGCAAGCAGTGTTGTGTGTGCACAGCTGCACAGTGGTTCTTGAGGCTTCTCCTGGCGAAATACACTTGGGTCTTGCTCTAAAAGGGGGTTTTTTCGTAATGCTCCCACGCCTGGCTTCCTCCGTGAACAGCTCTTGAATGGTCTTCGCCATGAAAGCGGAAAGGGTCTGTGTGGGTAAATTAGTATAGTAAAACTAACACACGCCTCTTTATCTTCCTTCTTTTCTTTCCTTCTCTCTCTCTCTCTTTCTTTTCCTCCTTTTCTTCTTTTCTAATTTGCAGCCCCGGGAGAAGGGCAGGATGCGGTTCCATCGGCTGCAGAATGTGCAGATTGCCCTGGACTTCCTAAAGCAGCGCCAGGTAAGACTACGTTGTGATTTCTCCATTCTGCAGGGACTCCTGGCAGGCAGCCCTATTTAGAGAAGTTCTCAGCGTCCCTAGGAAGCCTCCAGTAAATGCTAAATCTGATTGACCCAGTTCTGAGTCTTAACTGGTCAGTGTGCAGTTGAATTATGGTTGGGCAGGTCGTTTGGAAGTTCGTACGTCAAACTTAGGCCTTTTGGAGAGGGAGAGTGTTCATAGTAAGATGCCAAAGATGGAACTCTGTAGGCCTGCCTTAGATGAAAAGTAAACCAGCAAAGATGACAAAGGTGTAGTGTTCAGAAAGGGGGAGAAGCAGAACACGACAGCATTGTGAAACCTGTTCTGGGTGATCGAGGTCCCTTTTCTCAGGCACCAGGAAAAGGTCTCAGTTGTTACACATTCGTTACCTAGGGGTGGATGGATATATGCACATGTATTTTTATTTATTTATTTATTTATTTATTTATTTTTGGAGAGATTTTTGCTATAAGACACATGCGCTCACCAGAAAGACAGGGAAAGACAGACGGAAAGCAAGAAATCACCCTCCAGGGAATGACCACACTGCAACCCCTTCTCCTCCATTCTCCTCTTGGGATCTTGGGCACACACGCACATGCTCCTGGCATGAATTTAAACCATCAAGTCTTGGACTTGAACCACGGTCGACTGCATGGGAATCCATTGACAGCCATTATGCCAATTGCTGGCCTAATTTTTTTTATTTGAAATATTTTTGCTATCGGACGCATGCGCTCGTTGGAGATAGAAAGTAAGAAATCACCCCCCCCCCGGGGGGGTGATCACGCTGCAGTGCCCCCTCCTCTGTTCTCCTCTCTGGACTTTGGGCATGCGTGCACATGCACCTGGCGTGAGTTTTAAGCTGTCGGGTCCAAGACTTGAACCACAGTCAACTACATGGGACCATTAATTATGCCATCTGCTGATCCTGGGGATCAGTTTTAATAGAGCAGGAAGGTACAGCATAATGGACCTAGATGCAGGAAGGAAGAGGTTCTTCCTCCATAGATAAGGAAAGAAGACCTTTTGGACAAGGAGGAGGAGCCAATGAAGAGTCACATCGCAGGGGCCAGCATTTGGCATGGTGGTTAAGGTGCTAAACTTCCACATGGTCGACCTAGGTTCAAGTCCCAGACCTAGTGGCTTAAAATTCACACTGGCATGTGTGCGTGCGAACCCAGAATCCTAAGAGGAGAATGGAGAAGAAGGGATTGTGGTATGGCCATGCCCCCTGAGGGGGTGATTTCTCGCTTTCCCTCTCTCTGTCTCTGTCTCTCTATAGTGAGCACACATGCATGTGGCAAAAAGTCTTAAAAAACCACATATATGTAAGATTGCAAATGGGTGTGAGGAGGAGTATTAACGAGTCATAGACTATTTATCCTAAAAGATAACCCTAGGTCTCTACCAGCCTCATCCCTCATCTTACAGATGAAGAAACCTAGACCTGGACCGGTGGGATGACCTGCCTACCTCACACATGTTAGAGCAAAGTGAGGACTTCTCAAAAAATTATTATTTATTCATTTAAATTCATTCGTTATTATTATTTAATTTACCAGACAGAGAGAGAAAGGGAAAGTGAGAGAGCCACTAGGTCCGGGACTTGAACCGTGGTTGGCCATGTGGGAATCTAGAACCTTTAACCACCATGCCACCTGCCAGCCTTCACAAAGTGAGGACTTTAACCCAGGGCGCCTGACACATACTGGGTCATCAGAAAAACCATGTTGCATTTTTCTACACAAAAAGGCGCCGTGACTTTTCTGACGACCCAATAGTTTGGGGTTCCTGTGCTCTGCATGCTGTATTCTGCACCCCATGCTTCCTCCATTGCTTTCGAATTGCCAGATCCAGGCCCAGGGATAGCGCGATGAGAACCAGAGCACAACTCTGGGTATCTTTGCAAGAGAAAAGAAAAAGGCCTCTTTTGAGAAACAGGGAGGCAGACAGAGGAGGTGTGAAGACTCAGAGATGGTTTGTGGTAGAGAGGAAGGTGGATGAGGATGTCAGAGAGTTCAGCTGCTCAGGGCGAGCTGTGTGGGGGTTTGTTACAGCTGGGGTTGCCAGGCAACAGAGGGCCAACATGACTTTTTGTGGTGTGCATATCTTTGGAATCCATTTTTGTCACTTTTAGCAGCGATTCTTACTAACTTGGGAAATTCTCTTCCTGTGTGTTCTCAGAACGATTGCAGTTTACTTCTTTTATTATTTATTTATTAATTAATTTTTTTTTTGAGAGAGAGAGGTTTTTTTTTGTTTGTTTGTTTTTGTTTTTTGTTTTTTGCTATAGGGCATGTGTATTTGCCAGAGAGACAGAAAGCAAGAAATCACCCCCGGGGGTGGGGGGTGGAGGGTGGCCATGCCGCAATCCCCTCCTCCAGTCTTCTCCTGGAAGACTGTTATGCCATCTGCTGGTCCTGCAATTTACTTCTAATATAGCATTGGTCATTGCTATTTCTCTTTTTGCTCCTATGTATTGTAGGCTCAGGGGACACCCTCTTACTTAACATTGTACCTTCTGCACCTGTTAGAATGAGTGGTCCATAATTGGCACTTAAATATTTGTTGAAATAAATTATAAATGAAAAATGGTAGGAAGAATGAATGCTGCTGCAGTGTTCAGGGTCCTGGGAAAGCAACACTCAAATGTCTGTGTGTGGAGTTAAGGAAGCTCAAGGGGCCTTAATGTGCAAAGTAAATGGAGTGGAATTGATTCACTAGAAGTTTAAATAAGGACGAAGTAGATACTGTGATAGAATGCGAGCGTGGGCAGATGAGGGTAACGGACGCAGAGGACGGGGATCTGCAGAGCGATTCTTGGTCCAGTCGCAGCTGTGTGGGGGGCCAGAGGAGAGCAGAATGGAAGTGACCGAGCGAGGAGGCAGCCAGTCGTGCAGATAGGTGGGACGGGGATGCCGGTGAGTGCCGAAGCTGCCAAGGAAGATGGGAGGTGATGCGGTAGAAGAGAAAAGAAGAGGAGTCAGGTGCAGAAATCCTCGAGGAAAGGGTGAGGAGAGATTAGAAGGAGCTTTGGCCGAGGGAGGTGGACTTTACAATTAAAGAGAACTCTCACGGAGATGGGACTGGGGAACGTGGGCTTGGCTGGTCCGGCCCACCCACCAGCTGTGGGTTGTTGGTGGTTAGTGATCAGAAAAACTGGGTTCTCGGACTGGTAGGGCAGACTCTCCTAACTCCACTTTGGCCCTAATATGCAGAATAAGGGACCGCGAGAGTAGGGAAGAACTTCCCAGGCGAGCATAGAGTAAGGGAGAAGTGAGGCCTCTGAGACTCACTGGAGTCCTCGAGGAACATACGGATTTCAGGTCAGTGGAAGCGATCAAAGGAGCGAGGTTGATCTGTAGCTGTGCACACGGCCAGAGGAGAGCAGAATGGAAGTCACGGGACTGAGGAGGCCGCTAATCGTGCATAGCTGGGACAGCCAGGACAGCGGGTCACAAGTAAACAGGACCTCCTCAAGGGCATGGCAGAAGCTAAGAGGAGGAGGAGTACGAGTAGGCTCGTTTGGCCAGGATACTCCTGTTCTGAAGTTCCGCCTCCCAGGAAACCCTGCAGTCCCAGCACACTGGACGGGGTCACCTAGGGAGGGGCGGTCTGCGCACGTGTTGTTGGAGTGAGGCTTTAGGGGTAAAGCAGAGCTGTGGGGAGCTAGGCAGGTGTGACCATCCATGACAGAGAAGGGATAGTGGAGCTGGGAGCAGATCAGACTGGTGAGGGAGAAGAGGCCTCTCTCTTTCTCTCAACCTTGAGAAGGAAAGAGAAGGGAAAAGGGGAGAGACAGGAAAGGAAAAAACAGAAAAAGTCACAGTGCTGATGCCCGAGCTAAAAAGCCACTCACGCCATGTGCTTGCAAGGCTGCTTTGCTGGTGGGAATGCGAAGTGGTGCGGCCCCTCTGGAAAAGAGTTTGGCACTTTCTTATAAAGGTCAACACAGACCATATGACCAGCAATCCCACTCCTAGGGCTTTGCTCAGGAGAAATGAAAACACATGCTCACTCAAAAGCCTTTACATGAGTATAGGAGCTTTATTCATAACTGCCAAAGACTGGGAACACTCACATGTCCTTCACGGCGTGCACGCGTAAACATTGGGGGTGTATTTATACAATCGACTGCGCTCAGCAGCACACGGGAGCAGACTCTTGATCCAGGAACCAGCTTGGATGGGGGCTCACAAGGACATGACGCTGAGCGAAGGGAAGTCAGTACGGAAGGTGGCATACCATGTAATCCATTTCCATGGCTTCCTGGCGAAAGCAAAAGTAGGGCCCGCAGATCGGTGGTCTGGGCCGGGATGTGGGCAGGACTCGACTCAGAGGGCAGCATGGGTCCTTCCCGGGGTGATAGAACTGTTTTGTGGTGGTAGTGAAGTGAATCTGTGCGTGTGTTAAAGCTCAGAGCTGTACACTAAATAACAGCAATAATAATTTAACTCTCTATTCATGGAAAGCTGTAAAAGTTAAGACTCCAGAGCTGTAAGACTGGCTTTCGTTTTTTTCAGGTGAAGTTGGTGAATATTCGCAATGATGACATCACGGATGGCAACCCTAAGCTGACCCTGGGCCTGATCTGGACCATTATCCTGCACTTCCAGGTAGGCACTGCGGATCTAGGGTCCTGGTGCTTGGCTCGGATGTGGCCTGGAGGGGTGTGTTGCCTCGCACCGGCAGCATGGAGCCACCTTCTCCACACTTGGCAGTGAACGAGGGTGGGTGGGAGCTGGGAAGGCAGATTATGATTGGACCGGAGACAAGCTGTCTTATCCTAAACCTAGAACTTCCTGATGACTGCATGATGAAATCAGATTTTTCACCTGTTTTTGTTGGACCTGTTTCTGGGAGTCCGGCTATTATTAGGTTGTTGGGAAAGTCATGACATATTTTTCTGTTTTTCTATGAAAAAATATGCCATGACTTTCCCGACAACCCTGTAGAAGTCTGTTTGCTCAGCTGAGTGAAAACTAGGCTCTTCAGGGACCCAGTTTATGAGGGGTGTGGAGAGGTGCTGGTTTTGACGTTTAGAAGGTGGAGTGAAGGTCTGTGTATAACCCTGCTTTGGAGACCTTTCCTCATCCCGCGTGGTCTTTAAGCAAGCCTGGTTAATTGGAGCATGGCAGCTGGGTCTGTGTGTGCCGGCGAGCACAGCCTTGCAGAGCCCCCACTCCCAGGAGCAGGGGCACCTTGACAGGGGGCTCACGTGTACGGCCTTCCTGCTGCTCCCCTCTCCTAAGAAAGCAAATCCTTAAGTCTGGATCGCTTCTAGAAAAGAACAGCCTGGGTCTGCCAGTGGCATGGTGATTGGGTCCCACATGGCCAGCTGCACAGTTCGAGTCCCAGGCCTAGTTGTTTGGAAAACACCAGGCACATGTGTATGCCCAAAACCCTGAGAGGAGAATGGAGGAGAAGGGATTGCTGTGTGGCCATCCCCTGTGGGCGGTGATTTCTCACTTTCCATTTCTTCTCTTTCTCTCTCTTTCTTGCATGCGCACACACGCCAGCGAGTGCATGTGTCCTGTAGCAAATTAAAACAAAAACTGGAAAAAGGAAAAGAATAATACAGTTCTATTTTTATAAAAGACTGCTCTTTTCTGTCACTTGTAACTCAGCCAGACATAGCTATTTCTCACGCCAGTACCCAGCTCTCTGGTACTCACGTGCTGCACCCTAGGCTGAGGGATTACAGGGAGCCTTGCTGCAGTAGGTGGGAAAAGAAGGCAAGTTCCCCAAGGAGCTGGCTCCCCTGGAAGGCAGTGGTTTCCTAGCTGGGAAGTTAGCGCCATCTGCTGTTCGAAGGCAAGATGGCAGGTTTCCCAGAATTTGTAAGGCCCTAAGAAAATTCCAAAAGCATAAAGCTGTGTGTGTGTGTGGGGGGTGTCGGGGGGCACTCTGGTAGTTAATGCTGGCCGTCTGTAGCACAGGTAGGGGTGGGTACCCTCAGGCAAGCTTTGGGTATAGGATAACCAGGAATGTCAGCTTAGCGAGCATGTCCTGGTAGGGCGACATCGCGGCATGGCCATCCCCCCTGGGGGGTGACTTCTCGCTTTCTATTTCTCTGTCTCTCTCTGTCTGTCTGGCGAGCGCATGCGCTCTATAGCGAAAAACCTCTCCAAAAAGAAAAAGAAAAAGAAAGGATGCCATGGCCCGTCCGGGCCTTCTCACAGTGTCCTCCCTCCCTGTACTGTATTGCCCATGCATTGATGGTTCAAGTCTAGGCCCCAGATGCCGTCATTCAGGCTTTTTTTTTTTTAAATAGGGTATGGGAGAGGGAAGGTAATTATGTTGTACTTCCTTATGGTTTTCTTTTTTTTTAGTTTTGATTTTAGAATTATTTATTTAATTTACTATTACTATTTAAATTGGGGCACATGTACTCCTCAGAGAGGGAGAAGAAAGTGAGAAAACGAACTGCCACATCTGGGACTTCCCCTGCGGCCGAGCAGGTGCGAGGCCAACATAGCTATTTCTCACGCCAGTACCCAGCTCTCTGGTACTCACGTGCTGCACCCTAGGCTGAGGGATTACAGGGAGCCTTGCTGCAGTAGGTGGGAAAAGAAGGCAAGTTCCCCAAGGAGCTGGCTCCCCTGGAAGGCAGTGGTTTCCTAGCTGGGAAGTTAGCGCCATCTGCTGTTCGAAGGCAAGATGGCAGGTTTCCCAGAATTTGTAAGGCCCTAAGAAAATTCCAAAAGCATAAAGCTGTGTGTGTGTGTGGGGGGTGTCGGGGGGCACTCTGGTAGTTAATGCTGGCCGTCTGTAGCACAGGTAGGGGTGGGTACCCTCAGGCAAGCTTTGGGTATAGGATAACCAGGAATGTCAGCTTAGCGAGCATGTCCTGGTAGGGCGACATCGCGGCATGGCCATCCCCCCTGGGGGGTGACTTCTCGCTTTCTATTTCTCTGTCTCTCTCTGTCTGTCTGGCGAGCGCATGCGCTCTATAGCGAAAAACCTCTCCAAAAAGAAAAAGAAAAAGAAAGGATGCCATGGCCCGTCCGGGCCTTCTCACAGTGTCCTCCCTCCCTGTACTGTATTGCCCATGCATTGATGGTTCAAGTCTAGGCCCCAGATGCCGTCATTCAGGCTTTTTTTTTTTTAAATAGGGTATGGGAGAGGGAAGGTAATTATGTTGTACTTCCTTATGGTTTTCTTTTTTTTTAGTTTTGATTTTAGAATTATTTATTTAATTTACTATTACTATTTAAATTGGGGCACATGTACTCCTCAGAGAGGGAGAAGAAAGTGAGAAAACGAACTGCCACATCTGGGACTTCCCCTGCGGCCGAGCAGGTGCGAGTCCAGCGCCTTAGCCACTGCGACACCTGCTGGCCCCGTTTTGTTCTGTTTTGTTTGTAATTGCCAGAAGGCGCGTGTGCTCACCAAATAAAAACAGAGAAAGAGGAGGAGGGAGAAAATATCCCCGTAGGGGCTCAGTCAGTCATGCTGCAATCCTTTCTCCTTCCCGGTGGGATTTTGGGCATTCATGCACCCATGCTTCGCATGTTTTTTCAAGCCACTGGGAACAGGATTCCCACCCTGGCCAGCCAGGTGGGATCCCACTCCCTTGCCCACTAGGCTAAGGCTGGCTGTGTGTTGTGTTCTTTCCCTGCTGCGCATCAGGAGGCTCAGAATGTTCACTGTCTACTTTGTGATTGGTTATGGGTTCAGGTGGTATCAGCTTATCCATCTCTTCTGCATTCCCATTTGAGCTGTTCACCTGCGAGTTTTAGCTGCTGCTGATTATTGCTAGTTCTGTTTCTTCCTTGGAAGTTGGAAAATGGTGATAAATGAATTCTGTTATTCGTCATTACTTATGGGATCTTCAAAACGTTGGGATCTATTTTTTTTTTAATTGCCAATCATGCGTGAGCTTGCCAGAGAGAGAGAGATAGAAAGAGAGAGGGAGAAGGACACCCTAGTGGGGCGTGGTCAGGCTGCTCTCCCTTCTCTGTTTCTCTGTCCTGTCAGTATTCTGGGCGTGCATGCACAGAGCCAATACTGTGCTTTAAGCTGCTGAGACTAGGATTCAAACCAAGGTCAGTCATGTGGGATCCAGCTCCCTTAACAATTCGGCTCCATGGCTGATTCCCATGGAATACTCCTATGAAGAACTTTATCTCATCAGCTACCCTGAGGGATAGATAGTTCCTTTAAAAAGCAAGATAAATGATCCTGTCCTTCTCTCTACTTAGCAGTTTTCAGAATAGTTAGTTGGTTCTCTAAGATTCTCCAAAGGTAGCCAATGAAAGTTTCTTTCTGATCTCTTAAATTTTTGGTATCGTTGTGAAGGCATGGATTTTCAACAGACTTGATTGTTCAAATAATATATAGTTAGCATTTTTCCTAGTTTGACCAATAGAAGCATTTTCTTTTCTTTCCTTTCCTTTTTTAAATTTTGCCACAGGGTGTGTGCAAATAGGAGCCTTTTCAGGTTGAGTCTGAGGACTTTGGGATGATCCCTTAGTCTTTGATCATTTCATTTATCTTGCTTGATGGGATGTTCCAGATTCTTTTATAGTTTTCCTGTCCTAGGCCTGAAATTAGCAGCTTCTCTGAGGAACCAGGTGTGTCTTTACTGGTCTCAGTCCAAGTGCTCCTGGATTGCTCTCTGCCTCTAGGCCGTTTCTGTGCGCCGATGTTGGCGGCATCACTTTATTTTTCTTTAAAAAAAACAGAGCAAAAAGCCTAAGAAGTTATATTGATATATTGAATTTAGGATGATAGGCTTTGATTTAGCTTCTTTGACATTATATTTTTATCCTTTTTCTTTCTTTTTTTTAGAGAGAGATTTTTGTTATAGGGTGCATGCGCTCACCAGAGAGACAGACGGAAGGTGAGAACTCCTATGTAGCTGATTGAAGTTTGAGTCCCAGACCCAGTGGCTTAAACTCATGCCAGGCACGTGCCCAAGATCCCGAGAGGAGAATGGAGGAGAAGGGATTGCGGCATGGCCATCCTCCGGGGGGTGGGGAGGGATTTCTCGCTTTCTATCTCTCTGTTTCTCTCTGTCTTTCTGGTGAGCGCACACACCCTATAGCGAAAACCTCTCAAAAAAGAAAACAATCTTGATCCTAACAACAGTAACTACTTATTCCCTTTCTGTACACAAAAACTGTATCTGGAAAATCATATATATCATGTGTAATATAAATGAATCAAAATAACAATATCAATGTTATTATTAATATGGTTATTTAGATGTTTATGATTTCTTTCCAGTTCTTTTTGACCTTAGTGTGTATCTACTAAGGATATACAAATAATTGTATTTTAAAGTAATGTTTTTTACTGTCAGAGGGTGCATGTGCTTGCCAGAGAGAGCGAGGGAGCATAAGCTTCACCCAGTGAGCCACGGTCGCTCCATAACCCTTTCCCTTCCACTTTCCCACTGTGTCAGGACTTGAGGCGCCCATGCACATGTGTCTGTTTGGAAGCCACTAGGGCCAGGGCTCAAACTGCAGGCCATCATGAGGGAGCTAGCTCCCTGACCACAGAGCTCAAGTGCTGTGCTGGGGGCCAGCCCAGCAGGAGATTTTAAAAAGGGGATGCAAGGTGTAGTCAGAGAAATGTGGCGTCCATCTCTCCTCTGTCTTCCTGTTTCTTC